ATATATATATATATATATATATATATATATATATATATATATATATATATATATATATATATATATATATATATATATATATGTGTGTGTGTGTGTGTGTGTGTGTGTGTGTGTGTGTGTGTGTGTGTGTGTGTGTGTGTGTGTGTGTGTGTGTGTGTGTACATGTATGTTTTTATTCATCTCTAGTCAAGCCCGCACCTGTGGATACTCAAAATGAATATAAAACGCCATTTGACAAAGCCATAAAGAATTTAATATTTTCCCCCTAAAAGACACGCTGAAACTCAAGACGATAAAACTGATTTTTAGCCTCTGGTTTATTTTGTTGATGTTCGTCTCACCGATGTGGCCTTTACTGTTATTATTAAAAGTCATGTTGATAATAATTGTGATGATGATGATGAGGGCAACAATGATAATATCATTGATGTTTGTAAACAGACTTTATTGTATATGAAAGGTACGTAGATAATGGATTTAATGATGATGATGATGGTGATAGTGATGAGAATTATTGGTTAATTCGCTAAAACGAAGTAATGATAATCATAGTGAGAATAGAAGTCAGATATATAGCCATATAGGAAGAAAACATAAAGAATGAGAAAAAAACAAGACTTATAACAGAATGATCAAACTAAAGGAGAAAAATCTAAAAATAATTAGATCCAAGATTAAAAATAAAATAATAAGGAAAGAGAGAGAGAGAGAGAAGAGAGAGAGAGAGAGGAGAGAGAGAGAGGAGAGAGAGAGAGAGAGAGAGAGAGAGAGAGAGAGAGAGAGAGAGAGAGAGAGAGAGGAAGAATGAGAGAGAAAGAATTACAGAGCGAGAGCGAAGAAGGAAAGAGAGAGACTGACAGACAGACAGAGAGAGATAGGCGAAGCAGAAAGAGAGAGACAGACAGACAGAGAGAGCGAAGAAGAAAGAACGAGAGAGAGAGAGAGAGAGAGAGAGAGAGATACGGGTTATCGCCCCCTTATCGCAGACTCGAGAGGCGGGTAACAGTTCCGGGTAAAGAGGCGAAGGAGAGGCCCATTTTCAGGAAATCTCGGAGACAAAGACTTTCCTCTTCGGTGCCTTTCGAGCCTTCAAGATGGCGCTGAGACCATCTGGTGCAGGTGGGTAGGGGCGATTTTTTCTTTTCCTTTTTCTTTTTTTTTTTCCTTTTTTTTCCTTTTTCCTTTTTCTTTTCCTTTCCTTTTTCTTTTCTTTTTTCTTTTCTTTTTCTTTTTCTTTTTTTTTCCTTTTTTTTTCTTTACTTTTTTATTTCACTTTTCTATATTTTTTTTTCTTCATACTTGTTTTCTTTCTTTCTTTGTTTTTCATAATTAAGGGGTTCGGTAAGTGTAAGGTTGTATAGGCGCGAAAAATAAGGGAATAGACAGGAGATGGGCATTTAGATAGATATTTATCTATTATCCATACATTATTGTGTGTGTGTGTGTGTGTGTGTGTGTGGTGTGTGTGTGTGTGTGTGTGTGTGTGTGTGTGTGTGTGTGTGTGTGTGTGTGTGTGTGTGTGTGTGTGTGTGTGTGTGTGTGTATCTAATGTGTGTTTGTGTGTGGCAGATAGACAGATAGATAGACAGATAAATGGCTAGATAAATAGATATAAAGCCTGATACATATAGACACATATGGAGAGAAAATAGATGAATAGATAGATAGATAGATAGACAGATGGATAGATAGATAGTTAGACATAGATATAGATAGACAAACAGATAGATAGATAGATTCTTGAGAGAGGGAGGAGAAGGAGAAAGGAGGAGAAAGAAAATTTTGAAGACAAGGACTTCAATAAATACACTCGCTTTTTTAAACAAACAAACACGCATTACAGGTACGCCAGTAAGGAAACAGACAAACAAACAAACAAAGGCATAGTTCCCCTCCAGCCTCTAATCCCAGTTTCGTTCTCTTTATCACATTACTCCATGCCCTTTTTCGCTTATCAGTATTGCCACTTAGACAGGTAAGAGAAGAGGGGAGAACGAGAGATAGGGAAGAGGGGAGGAAATAAGGACTTTCGTATATTAGGAATTAGATACTGTGATAAGGGGACATAGAAGAAGAACGTGGAGAAGAAGAGGAAGAAGAAGAAAGAGGAGGAGAGGGAGGAGGAGGAGGAGGAGGAGGAGGAGGAGGAGGAGGAGGAGGGAGGAGGGAAGGAGGAGGAGGAGGAGGAGGAGGAGGAAGAAGAAGAAGAAGAAGAAGAGAAGAAGAAGAAGAGGAAGAGAGAGGAGAGGGAAAGAAGGAGAAGGAGAAGAAGTAGAGAAGAAGAAGAAGATAGGAAGAGGAGGAGGAGAATTACAAGAAAAAAAGAGGAGGAAGAAGAAGAAGAATATGATGGAGAGGAGGAAGAAGAGGAAGGAACAAGAAGGAAGGGAGAACGAAAGGGAGAAAGGGAGGCGAAAGAGGACAGAAGAAAATGGAAATGGAGGAGGAGGTGGGTGGGATAGGCGGAGAGGAGAAAAGAGGAAGAAGAGACAGAAGAGAG